TCTGTAATTCTTTATTAAGAGATTTTCCACTTTCTTATAGTTTTTATGTTATGTTTAATTTAATATAGTAGTTAATCATAAGTATTAGATCTGAGTTTAGGAGTTATCTCTTTTACTTCTTTCTTCGTCAAAACCTTTTGATTTAATATGTTTTAAAATGAGCTTAGTGTCATTATCAGTTAATTGTTTACTACTTCTAAAAGTGTACTTTTGATCTTAGTAGCATATTTATAATTTTTCTGAAGAACTTAGTTTTGTTCCTAGTTCATCAAGTTGATTTTCACTTTTTATATCTCCTGATTCTGTGGTGTCTGAATTCGAGATATAGTTCATGAATTTTATTTAACACATCTTCATTCTAGATTTAATTCATTTAATTTTATTGAATCTACAAAATTTTTTGACGTATGTCCTTTTTTACCACAACTTATAACTAGTTAAATCTTTATAAGAAAGCTTTTGTTTGTTGAGGATTTATGATGGTTGCTTTCTTTGTACTTATTTTTTAGGGGGTTTTGACTTTTCTTTATTATAATAGTTTATCTTGACTTGGTTTATAAAATACTAAATAACCGTTAAATGTATTTAAATGAATAAATTGTATGCTGCTTACCTTTATATATGATGGTTTTATAGAGTATATTTAATGAGCTTAACGGATGATTAAAGGACAATCTGGTTAAACCCAATGGATTAACATCCGTCCGTTGAGTAAGACAAAGTTAATATGTCCTATAGAGATTCAAATGCGTGCAGTTTAATCCAATAAAATGATTCACTTAAACTTACTTCTTATAGGAAATTAATGACGATTTTATGCGTCATCATCATGTTTTTAAGTCATGTGCTTATGATGTTAGGTTAAAGTACTAAGAACAAATCATGTCGTACAATCCTCTGTTTAGCCCAAATATCACCGTGATACATAGTTTCAACTAAGTCCTGGATAATGGTAAAACATTTATTTATAAAGAGAGTATCTGTAGAGTACACAAATGTGGTATGTTATTTATAATAATTCCTAACCTTATCACCCAAGAAAAAAGGTCCAGAAGTAAGCCGGCTAAGACTTCTCTTTCCAAAAGGCAAATCTCGATCAGAATCTCTGTACATTATACAGGGTATAGAATCCTGAGAATATAGGAAAGTAGAATATTATAACCCTAAATATTGTATAGTAAAATCAAACCTTCTAACTTTATTATACATTCTTAAATATGCATAGTAATAATTCTTGCATGTTATCTTTTCACATAGTGTGAATTGAGGATGCATTCCGATAAAATGTAAGCTCGCAACATTAGGCGTTGAGAGTTGATAAACTCGTGATACATGCTATTCCCCTGAATAAGGTCTCTACACCATTAATTACATACATAATATATGGATCTGCCATATCATATCCAATTACTATTGAGAACTGGAATAATTAGAAGATTTCTAATGGACACGTATCGTGATTGGTCAGTTAGGTGATATAATACAGCCACCAACCATTTAGCTATCCCCCTGTAAACATAACCTGCTAAAATGACATTATTTTTCTGCTCATAGGCCTTCTATAATCGTCCCTGATTATAAATTTAGAACTGCGAATTTGTCCAATTATCAGGCTATTAGCTGCTCAATTAGTCATTTGTTGTAGTATAGATTTAAAAAATGAGTCCATTTTATTTTCAAAATAGCCCATACGCATACTAATATTTTCGCATTCATAAAATGTAGTTACTGCTTATTAAATATTAAAATGATAGAGTACTAGAGAGGATTGTTTATCACATTAAGCATAATCTGTGATACATAAACCCAGTGCGCGGTAATTTACGTAATTCCCTATGTGAAAGAGATATTTACATGTCTTGATGTTGATTAAGGATTTAATTCAAATTGTTTAATATTTTTCAAATTGTTTAATATTTTCTGATTCAGATTCACTGATTTCAGATTGAGAGTTTTCTTCTATTATGTTTATATTTCTAGATGCTTGAGGGGTTTCAGGTGCTACTTGTTGAGTAGTATCTGAATTTAATTCAAGTCTACTTAGTTGTGTCTTTAATGTGCTTAAGAATTCATTTTGACTAGATTTAGAAAGTTGATATGGTTTAAAAATATGAGATTTTATTTTTTCTTTACCCTTTACCTTATCATTTGCAATTGGTTTTTCTTCTAATAAGTTTTCTATTCTTTTTAATTGGGTATTTAAGCAAATTAAACTTGCATTACTAAAATTATTTTGTTCAATGAGTTTTTTATCTGTATCATTTTCTCTAGCTATTTTATATGGAGCACAAACAACAAACAATTTCATTATCCTGATATTTTAATTTACTAATAGTTTTAGGTGGAAAATCACTTTGTATAATTCTATCATTTACTATCCATTCTGGTTTCTTATTTCTTACAGTTATTGGATTTACACTTTTAGTGGAATTATTTTCCTTAATTAATGCAAACCAATCAAAGAATTTGATTTCAATTTGAGTGTTAAGTTTATAATTCAAGTATTCGTGTTTTAAATCTTCAAAAGTATGAGTTTTTAATATTTTATTTAATTTTTTCAAATTTTTAGTTTTAGTGATTTCTTTTATTAGTCCTTTTTCTATGTCTTCTTTACTGAGTACATTGAGTTCTCTATTTATTTCTTGTATATATTTATATCTCTTACTTTTATGTTGTTGTAAAGTTTTAGAAGAGAGAAGAGTAATTCTCTCAAATGGTTTACTTAATTGAAAATCTCTTTCTTCAGTTTTTATTACATAATCAGTTTTCCATAAATTAAATTTAGAAACTTTATAAATTTGTTCTTTATCAACTTTAGGTATTTCCCATTCATCAATAGCTTATAGGTTTAGGTGTCTGTTCTTTATATTTTTGCATTAAATTACTGAAGGTATTTGAAGAGGGTTTATCATTTTATCAATCTGTGACAACAGAGATGATGACCCTGTATATCCTAGAACTTTGGACTTCCTATTAAATTTTAGATGTAACTTTACCATCTTCATATTGCCTCAATTTTTGTAAATTAATATTTGGTGTGTTACCTTTTCTGGAATAGAGGACGGTACTATTCCGTCCAAGATCCATTCTTCTGGTAGAGTGAGTCTTTCCATTGAATGGTTTTAGGATTTACTGTATTCGTGTTTAGTTTAAATCTGTTTGTAGAATCTTGTTTCTCCTACTCTTTAGGGTTGTAACTTATATTTACGTACCAAATGCTGAATCATTACTTTATAATGAATTTTATATATCAATGTATAGGGAATGACTCCTTGTTTCAGTTTATGAATTAATGAGTTTAATTTCTAGAACCATGCTTTTCTAGAATATTTACACATTTAATGAGATAGTCATATCTGGGTATACTTCAAAAGGAATGGGTCCTTTCACTTAAAACTGGTTTTCAACTGATCCAACAAAGAAATCTGAAAGTTTAAAATCTAGCATCTCTTACCACTGCTAATATACTAGTGCTAGTGTTTAATCCTTCTCTAGTTAAAGGTTTTATACCTACTTGGATTAATCCTATATGTATATACTTATATTTTTTACTTTTATGTTGTTGTAGAGTTTAGGAGAGAATTCTTTCAAATGGTTTACTTAATTGAAAATCTCTTTCTTCTGTTTTTATGACATAATCTTTTTTCCATAAATTAAATTTAGAAACTTTATAGATTTGTTTTTTATCAACCTTAGGTATTTCCCATTCATCAATAGCTTTACTAAAATCTTGTAAAATTAATTCATTGCGATTTATAACCCTTTTTATTTCTGAAGATTCATTCAGGAATCATCCGATTTAATTACTACTAACAGATATCTACACAATAAAGGATCCATTTTAGAATATCAACAAGTTTGCGCCACTGCCTGGTTTATACCCTTACTCAGGCCTTTCAACACACGCCATCAAACGGGTTCAGTAAAGGCATACCCAAAAACTATCTATGGATACTTCCCAAATGAATATCTTTATTCTATAGTGTTGCTTAGCCAATTCTTAAAATAGGATATGGCTCTGATACCAACAAAACCACAAGTCCGAGAGGACCGTACAACCTGAAGGTACGCTCAAGCAGCCCTTTACGCATTGTTGCCCTCTCGACAACCTACAACCCATAACCAGGCCTCAGCCACTGTGGCCTTCCTGAGGTAAAAGGCCTATGTGTTTCTCACTGTTCACACAGTGAGACCCTCCATTGGAGCTGGCAAACCTTGTCTTTAGAGGCGACAGGGCGGATTACGCCATAACGACTCTGATACCAACCCAAAACTACACACAAGGACCGTGATATACTGTGTCACACAGTGAGAACCCTCCATGGAGCTGGCAACCTGTCTTTAGAGGCGACAGGGCGGATTACGCCATAACGACTCTGATACCAACAAAACACAAAGGACCGGATATATATATATATATATTTCTTTTGATTTGTTAAAGATCAACAAACTGTTTATTAATTATGATAATAAATTCTATGTCTAATCCAATTGAGTATTTGTATACTTGAGATTATTATTATTACTGGATATATTCTTCAAAAAATATATATAGATAGATAGGCAACTATACTAATAGTATAGCATCATCATATAATACTTTCTACTAAAAAGTCCTACCTAAAACTTGAATAATTAAAACAAAGTAAATTACTTGCCTAGACCAGATCCATAGTACGCTTATGGACCAAACCAATGACAGTAAATATTCTTTAAAAAATATTTTGACTTTATCCTTTTTTCTCAATATATGGTCAGAAATATTCTCATTTCAATAAGAAATCTTATTCTCATTGGTTTAGTCAACGAGTGAGGCCATGAACTCGGTCTTGGTAAAATTTTCCCTAAAACAAGAACACAAGAATGAGTATCTCAGCTAAGTAAGGTTACAGGTATTTAATTGGGTTTACTTAAGAGGGTACGAAAGATGAGAGTGAGTCTGTTTTGTTAATTTTTTATAAATATATAATTTCTCTATATTCATGGATTAGTAAATACCATATGAATAAGAATATAAAATATAATAAATAACATTTAATTAATCAGTCTAAGCATGCACTCATCTCTGGTCTAAGATATATCCACAATACTCTTCTCTGCTCTTTATGCACCACTCAAGTCAACAAAAGACGAAAAGAAACACTGCCACTTTAATCCAACAACTCACACTTTTATGGGACCCAAATATATCATTAGTTTCAAACATTTAAAGGGATCATCTTCTCCAACACTTGGACTGCTTCTTTCATGGATGGTCTCTTTTGAGGTACAAAAGAAATACAACTAAACCCTAATCTCAAACATGCCAACATGCCATCCTCGTCAGCCCTAATTGCCACATCCGCCAATCTCAAAACCCGGTTCTTGTCCTCCACTATTGAACCGGCGGTCCACTGGCTCAACTCCCGGTCTGAAACCACTCTGCCAGTAAGAAGTTCAAGCAAAATAACACCAAATGAATAAACATCCCACTTAGGGTTTGGCTTCACGTGCTTTAATGACTCCGGCGCTTGATAAGGGGATGTGGTACTAGTGGTGGAGGAGCAAGTGGCTGTGTAAGGGCTGGCGGTGCTAGGGTAGTCTCGTGAAGTAGAGTTGGATCTTTGGCTACCGAAATTTCGGCCTGAGTTGTTAGCTTTGTAGCTGTTATTACCTAGAATTAAAAGGTCTAGGCCGAAATCGGAGATTATGGGCTCCATATCGAGGTTTAAGAGGATGCTAGTAGGTCTGATGCTGCCATGCACGTGTTTTTTCTCGTGAATAAAGGCTAGACCTCGAGCTATCCCTCTTGCTATCTTGAACCGAACTTCACTAGGTAGATGAAATGGTGATGAACCCGGTTTTCCTGTATGTTGGGAAAGGAATGAATGTTAAGAGTATAAGCTAATGAAAAGGAAACCCTTTTTCACATTTCATACCAATACGTGAATTTACATCATCACGAGTATATTTAATAATTTTGTTGTAATTAAAAATCCTACAAAGTATATATCAGAACACAAGTAAGCGAGTTGGAGTTTAATATTTTTTAAAACGGAGCTCGAGCTTTAAAATGCAAGCTCAAATCGAGCTAAAGCTAGACTCGAGCTTTTATCAGCATTTCACGAGCCAAATCGAATAACTTAAAGCTTAATTTAGCTCGATTCGATCATAACTCTACCTATGATATGGGTGGGCCCAGTAATCTTCTAGGTATATATGTTTTTGCATTGGACTGAACTATACAACATCCAAGGAGTGATCACATGAATCTTAATCTAATCGATCGGTCGCTCATTAAATTAATCAAAATTTTATAAAAAAAAGGAGCAGACATATCACAGACAAGAAATCACAAGCAGTGTTAATTATAAGAAAAGACCAGGTGAGAAATGTAGACCGTAGAGTTAAAAAGGAAATACTAAAACTACAGTAAAAGGCAGGACTTGTTGCGGTTTTTCTACGAAAGCGACACATGATTTTGGCGCATTGTGCGTTTTGTTTTGTGGATACTGTCGTATACCCACTTTTTTAATTTAAAATAATTATCACAGCTATTATGAGACCCATCACCATCGGATCAATCCAGTATGTGGTCCCAGTATGGTAATATGGTCATCAAACGGTTGACACTCCAGTCCGGCAGTCTAACTTAGCAAAAACGGTTTTTTTTGGGATAATTTTCTAATTATTGTTTTCAGTTAAATGTATTTGATTATAATTTTTACCCAAACATTAAAATAGATATAGATAATTTTACTTAATAAACATCCACTTATTTTATCTTTATTTTATATATCTTTTCTTTAAAAAATGTCTCATAAATTCTTTTCAATTTTCTTTCTATTTCAAATAAAATAACAAAATAGATTTAAAAAGTAGGATATAAATTATAATAGCTTACTTTAATTTTTGAGTAAGAAATTTCAACTATAGACACCTTGTAAAAATACATCAGTTTGGACATTTAATTGATAAAAATAAAATTGAAATACAAGAAAAATTTAAAAATTCATACACTAAATTTATAATTTTTTATTTTTATTATTCTGCTAACATGAATAATTAATTATTAGAGATGTGAAATCAGGTATTGGCATTTATATAAAGTGTATTTGAGACTGATGGTAATTAAATTTAAAAATCATCATTCATTTTGAATATTGAAATAAAAAATAAAACATTTTATGGAATTATTAATAAAAATATTTTATATTTTTGTGAATGTTACTAATTAAATAGACCAAAATTTAAAAGAGTTTAGGTAATTCGTTAATTTTTAGACAATACTAATTGGGTTTAGAAGGAATGCTAATTAACAAGTTATTTCTAATTAAAAATTGAACTTAGATCATATTTAAATCAAAACTATTTAAAAAGGTTCAAAAACAAAGTAATTTTTGCTAATTAATTATCTATAAGTTACATTTCTAATGCAATGTGAGGTTGGGGAAGATGAGAGGTGCATTTCAGTAAGGGCTAAGAAAAATCACTAGCATGCACAAGAAACAAGAAGCGTATGTTAGCAAAAATTAAATGAAACTACTAACATGCGCCAAAAAGACCAGAGAGAACAGAAAGACGAAACTTACTGTAATTGGAGCTAGCAAGACTGCCATTGGAGACATAGTCATAGATAACAAGCTTCTCGTCGTCTCCCCAATAAAACCCACGAACTCTAACCAAATTTGGGTGCCGTAACTTAGCAATTAGCCTCACTTGATTCTCAAAATCTCTAAATCTCTCTACACCACTTTCTCCTATTCTCCTCACCGCAAAAGCCGTACCATTAGCAAGCACCGCCTTGTACACTATACTAGCTCCTGTAGCTCCCAACATATAGGCCGATGCTTTTAACAGCGTTTCCGTGTCCAGTTCCGTTTCTCCGTCCACTATCACAAGCTTTCCACCCTTCTGCTTGTGGTTCTCATTTATAACTTCATTCTGGTGGTCAATGTCGCCGCCGCCGACGTCCTGGTCGCTGTCGGAAGTTGTCGCTTCTTCTGATGTTGTTTCTTCGCCTTTGAGAGTTAAGCATGACCATGATGTCTGTTTTCTTGGTTCTGTCGGTTTATTTTCAGAATTTGATACAATTATTGTTTCTGATGGAGGTTTTGGATCAGTCTTTGATGGGTTGAAGCTGTTGATATTATTAGAAGTGTTTTTCTTTCTGAGTTTGTATACGTAAAGGATAACCATACCGAGAATGGTTATTCCGGCTAAATCCGCCACGGCTATGGCCGCTACAATGGTGGGTTTTAGACCATTTTGGGTTTGGTTTTTTGAATTCTGAGTTCCGGTAGATGAGTTAGTTACTGGGGTTGATTCTAGTGGTTTGGGTATAACTGCAATAGCTGGTGAAATGGATGAAACATTCGGTGGGGTAGATAAAGTTGATGGAATTGAGCAAAGATTCTTTAGTGGTTTCCCACAAAGATCTACATTTCCTGTAAAAGATTCTGTTTTTTGATTAAGCAAAGACACAGACTCTGGAATTGAACCAGTTAGGTTGTTGAAGGAGAGATCAATGGTGGCATTTGCAGGAATTTTCTTTGCAAATTCTTGTGATATTGACCCAGAAAGCTTATTGTAAGAAAGATTCAAATAATTCAAAGTACGTCCACCAAAATCAAATGGTAATGACCCATTAAGGAGATTAGAAGATAGATCCAACACTTGAACAGAATTAAACCCACTTGGAACGTAACCAGAAAAATAATTAGACCTTAAAGAAAGAAAAGTAAGATTTTGCAGAGTTGTCAAATTCTTAGGCACTTTCCCATCTAAAGCATTATCAGAAAGATTTAGTAACTTCAAACTCTTCATTCCACCAATTGTTTCCGGCAATTCGCCGGAGATCTCATTACCTGAGAGAGAAAGCACCTGCAACTCAGTAGAATTGAAAAAAGAAAATGGTAACGACCCATTTAAGAAATTATTTGAAAGATCAAGATGCTTAAGGTGTTGAACAAAGCCCAAATCAGGAGGGATTGAACCCAGAAGCTGACTATTAGGTAAAGCTAAGCTTGTAACCCTAAACATATCAGGTGTGCCTTGGAGGCCTAATTCTGTACAGGTGACTCCATTCCAAGAACAGGGATTTTCATCATCATAGTTCCAGTTTTCCAAGACTGATAATGGGTCACTAAGAGTGGAGTATTTGAAAGAAAGCAAAAGAACCCCATCTGTATTCAAAGCAAATACAGTAACTTTCACAAGAGAAACCACAATAATAATGAAAGAAAGAAAATGGAGATTGATATGAACAAAACCCATGTTTTTTTCTTGAACTAACGAATCATGCTGTTCCTAAACCAGAGCTAGCCTTTACATAGTCTGAAAAAACAGAGAGATGGTGACCAACTGTAGTTGTAATTGTTTTGGTGAACAAATCAAAAAGGAAGAGAAAAAGAGTTGTTTGATTTGATATATTATTGATGCTAAAAATTAAAATATGGAAGTACTTAAAAAACAAAGGAAAAGTTGAAGTTGCAGAGAATGAAGGGAGGCAACAGAGAGCAAAGTCTTTTTTGTGTTTATGTATTTCAGTTAATATAATGAAAAGGAAAGTTAACTGAATACAGGGAAAAAGATGATAAAAATGGTTTTGGATTATTGACTTGGAATGAGGGGAGCCAAGAGTGTTGCTTTTGGTCCTCGAGTGTTTTGTTTTGTAAATTTGTTGGCTTTTATTATTAATTCGGCAATGGGAAAAAAATAAAAAATAAAAGAAAAAGAAAAAGAAAAAGCAGAGAGGAATCTTGTATCTGCTACTACAAGACACCCAAGTGAGTTGGAGCCCATCAGACTGCAGGAGTGTACTACAGAAATCGGACTGCTTTGTCTACAATCTTATTGGGAATTATTGACTTTATCATCCCATCAATTTGTCCTTATTTTCCATTTTTACTGTGAGCAAAAGCCCTTTGATTGTTGTAGTTTTTTTCAGAAGAAATCAATTTGCAAATTTTATTACGAGGAAACGGTGTATAAATATAAAGAATACATATTAAAGTATTTCTATATTTTTATATAATAAATTTAATAATAAACCATTTATATAAAAATAAAAAAATATATAAATTTGATTTTAGGTATCTCATCAAGTTAACATAGCGTCATAAAACAATGTATCGCTTTATTTGATAGCTATTCATAATCGTTGTTTGGTTCCATGATCTTTCTACTAGTGTAATATGATGGTTATAGTTTTATTAAAAAATTAAGCCATCATACGGTGGTTTGTTTATGAAAGTAGACTGCATGTTCAGGTGATTGGTTTTCGGATTTTAAAGTTGATAGTTCAAAATTAAGAATTGTCTATTTTAGATGGTTTTATTTGAATTTTATCCCCGAGTTTAAAGATGCACTTGTAAATTTTTTTAAAAAAAGAAATTATTTATCTCTCTTCCATTCCGAGTCAATGTTTAGATGATTTTTATTTGAATTTTATCTCTAGTCCAAGTTTAAGATGCGTGTAAATTAAAAAAATAAAATTATTTATCTCTCTTCCATTACGAAAAAAGCAATAATATAAGTTTAATCAAACGAAAATAATTGTAATTAATTTTTAAAGTTAATGAAAAAATCTTACACTGTTATTTTACAACATAACCGTAAGCTTTTGAAAAGATTGGATTTTTTGTTCTTCGCTAGACATATTCTGAACATATAATGATTAGGATAATTTATTTGCTCATATCATATCCTAGAAAATTGGAAAAAAAATAAAAGTCTTGACATTTGAGACAATATTATCCATTAAAGATAAATGAAATTAATCTAATCTAGTACTAGTATAACCAATTCAGTGTCCAATGCTATTTCTTGATTCAACCATATTCTAGTTTGTTACAATTGATTTACTACGACGCTACAAGAAATTACTCCTTGACATATATACTGTCACTGTATAAATAAAATCTTGTAAATAAAAAATTCTCACTCTACGGCCTGACGTAGTAGGAACTCAATAGACTTTCGGATACTATGATTAAATACCAAAAGAAAAATTCTCACTAATATTATCATAAATATTTGCCAATACCATCAAATGTTATTAACATTTGGCAATATTGTTATCATTTTATTATAAACTAATTTTATTGAAGGTGGGTTGTATGTTGTTTTTACTCGTTGCAAATAAATATAATTTAATATATATATTACTCGTTGCAAATAATATAATTTTATATTATAAATTATAGTATTATCAACATTTTATATTACTAAAATTTTAAGAGTATTCTCAAAATAATAAATTAACTTTTTATGAAATAATAAAATAATAAATTTCTCAAAGCAAAAATTAACTTGACTTGGCTTATTATGTTTTGAATTTATATTATCGATATTATATATTATAAATAGATGGATATTATAATAAATATATTAATTATTATTTTAAAGTATTTTTTATAATTTTAATATTTTTTTACTTTTTGCTAATTCTATGGCATATAATTAATTTTATGATTTTTTTTAGAAAAAAATTTTTTTAACGTGTTATACGATTTGCTAATATAATTAAATAATATTATATACTTACCATATTTGATATGTATCTTATATAGTATAATGTAACCCATCAAAATTAAATTAACTTTATCTTTTCAACTAATAATTTTCTATTTAGAATTCAATTAAATTTCCTAACAGAATTTATGTAACACCCGCCGCCCAGCCCCAAGAGACCCGACGGCGGATGCCACATTCGGTGCCAGAGACACCGTCCTACAGCAAAACTGCAAGAGTTTTCCTTTTTTTCCTTTAAAAAACCAGAGCAGCCACACAACATTGATACAACAAAAAATTGAATACAAAACACTCCTAATTTTAAACTCTAAACCCCCAGCAAACTCCAGTAATCACCATAGCAACACAACAACACTTCTATACCTTCATAACTATAGCTAGCAACTCATTCTCAACATATTCCTTCCACAGGCACATATACACACATTCATGCATTTTATGTATGCATTTCACATTCCACAATTATTAAATAAAAAAAATAGTATGCTTTCATCATTTAACCTGACTCCCGGACCGGTGGTACTATTCACAGACCGGTAAAACTATTATTTTAGACACAGAAAAATTAGGGCGTTACAATTTAGATTTAAATAGAAAGTTAATATAACCAATCAAAATTTAACCATATTTATTTTCCAACCAATTAAATTAAAATTTTCAATGATATTTTAATCAATCAATAAATTTAGTAAGGGCATTTTTAAAACTCAATATTCCCCGTTTGTACTTTTTTATATATACTCTGATACACAGATATGCACATGATATTAATATATTCTTAATAGAAAATATTATGTGTTGTAAATAAATATTTTTATTCTTTTATTTATTTATTGTGAGAGCTTATTAAAAATAAATAAATAAATAAAGGTTCAAGTGATGCTAACCAGGTTCATGCAATTTTGGATATGTTCTCGGTCAGTCTTAGATTGATTTCCAACTAGTTTTAAGAAAATATAAAATGTTGGTTAAATTTTTTTTTAATTCATTGGATATGTTCTTATCTCACCGAATTAATAAAAATAACTGTAATTGAGAGAACTCAAATTTGAGACCTCTCACTCTTCATATAAGTGATAAGACCAATCAAACCACCACCTAATTGGCAAAATGTTGGTTCAATTTAAAATAGACTAAAGCGGGATTTCTTATAATTTGGTTGGAGATGAATAAATTAGGGAAGTACAACTTTCCAAAAATATATAAAGTCTTGTTGTTTGGTTTGTATTGGCAATTTAACGGTCTCAAAAGCAAGTTGTTCAACTTACCTTATATATATATATAATTTCCTTAGAAAGGATTTTGAAAGTTTTACTTCCATAATTAAATGCAATGGATTTATTAATTTATCATCATATGAATTAAATATAATTTAAAATTTATATATTATGGATGTTATTATTTTTTATAATTTGAGAGAAATTTGCATCTCTAGAAATTTTCTTGTACATGTAAATCATATTTCTTGTCGTTTATTTGAACTGAATGTTGAATCTGAATCAATAATTTATTGAATTGAATGATTAAAGAGTGATATTAAGAGCTTATTACAAAGACTAAGATTTTTTGGTAAACGAGATATCTGAATAATTTGAATGTGCATTTTTTTTGTTACATATTTGACCTTCTATGTTTTTAAATATTATGTATTTTTATATAATAATAAAATTGACAGTATATTAATAATAAAATTGACGTAATATATCTTAAATATATATATATAATATATATATATATATAAAAAATATATATAAACTATAACAAACGTTAAAGTCCAACTTACAAATTAATTTCTATTAAAATATTAGCAGCAATATGACTTGTAAATGATAAATAAATCCAATAAATATAATTAACTCCATACAATATACTCTAATATATGGTGAAATGTTATACAACACAATTTGAATTATCCAAAGTAAAGTAAAATTTTGTTATAATTAAAAATTTTATTCTCAAAAAACTTACCAATCACTTAATAAAATATAAATTAAAGTATATCATCTATAATCACTGTATAATATATATATAATATATATTATATATATAGAAAGTTAAATTCTATATAGAAAGTTAAATTATATCCACTTCTTGAAGTATATGAACCAACACAATAAAATATAAAGTTAATCCAAAATAAAGTCATTTTTACATAGTAGAATATAATTTGTAATTTTAAATATTAAGTAGGGATATTTTTGTCTTCTGGTAAAAAAAAATTATACAATTTTCCAAATAAACTGCGAAAAACTAAGTTTCTGTATATGAATCAATAAGATTTTGTATCAGCTAATTTTTTGTCTTGGTATTCAGATAAATTGTTTAATTATGTAAAAAAAATCAAAAAAACTTATTTCCTTTTGATATGAATCAATAAGATAGGTGTTTAATAAACTATAATAAGCTTAGATATTAACACGTCCTAACTCCCTTGAAAGTGTACTTCTCAAGATGTAGGTCATCCTGAAACCAAACAAGCTCTAAATCTTACCCGAACCATTGCAAGCACTATAGGGATGTGTAAACTGAAGCAAATAAAACCCATTTGAAAATTTGAAAACGAAAATCAAATTCAACGAAAATCTTGTTTTGGATTGGCTAGAACCAAACAAGTTCGATCAGCTGAATTAATTTCTTATGGTATTTTCAAGTCGGTTCAATTTCTTATGGTATAAAACTGACACTAAAGCAAAAGAAGTCAGGTTTAAGACCTTTTAAACCAAAAATTGAACTTTATTTTTTGGGGAATCTACTTAAACCGAAATGGTTTAATTTAATCTATTGGTCGTTCAAATTGAAGTTTGCAGACCCAAGTAAGCAAAGGAAAAGTATGTGTATTAAAATGGGTTGACGTATTATATTCAACACAGATTTGCTTAATACGTTGTATAATTAAAGTAAACACGATCATGATATGAAAATTAAACAGGCGAGATGAACACGATACATTAATTTATTTCAATAATAGATTGTGTACGAATTAAAAGAATCGAACACAACCCACTGAATTAACCTATAAATGATATTTATAATCTATTTAACTCATATCATGCTTAACAGTTCAATTAATGAACAAAATATATATGTTCTTCAAGATTTAACACAATAATAAAATTTAA